ATGCCAGAGAAATCTCCAAATTCGTTCCCTTAAGACCCTGCTTAAATCTAGAGGGCTTAAGATCTCTCAAAAAGAAAGCTTAAAATTTTGGAATGAGGTGTATCAGTTTGCACCCTGGATCCTTAATTGTGGAGGGACCCCTTTGATGGACTCTAGAAAGAACCAGATCCATTGCTAACCACAGAGGAAAGATTTGCTTGTGTTTTCCCTTTCAAAAAAAAAAAAAAAAAAAAAAAAAAAGAGCAAAACCCCACAATAAAATCCTTTCTACCAACTCAGATAGTTTAAGTCATGGCCCTATTTTCCTTCCTTTCCCAATCACCACAAACAGCTACTCTTCAAACACAGAACTGATGAATGGTGATCTTCCACTGTTGGTCAAGTTCTTCTGTAGGGTACACAATTCCCTGCATTTGATCTGCACAGGTACTGCACTAGAGAAATAAAATCCTTTTAACAAAATTAGTTTTGTTTTTGGTCTTTCTGAGACAGGGTCTCCCTGTAGCTTTAGCTGGCCTGGAACTCACTAATTAGTCCAGGCTGACCTCAAACTCACAGAGATCCACCTGCCTTTGCCTCCCAAGTGCTGGGATTAAAGACATGCACTACCACACCTGGCAACAAAAACAATTTCTAAGGGTCTGTTATAAAGGGACTTAAATGTCAAACAAACTGGTTATTTTAATTTTATTGTGAAAATAAAAATATCTCCAGGACAGTTAAAAAAATAAATACTATTAAATAAAAATGTAACAGAGAGTAGTGTGGATATCAGAGGTGGGCACTGTGCCACACAAGTGCACAAGTCCTAATCCATTCTCAGCCTTCTCTTCCCTGCCTTAGTGTGCTGGCTGATCTCAGCCAACCCCAGGGTCAATGACCATCTTGTTGCTGAGGATACCGGACTCTCATTTTTCCAGAGCTTCATCCCCATCACCTACATATGCCAGGACAGTCTAACTGGATGTCTCATAGGCACACCCAATCCAGCATCACAAAGCTGAGCTTCATTTCTTTCTCCTAAGTTCTGCTCCTGTGCCCTATTTTATTCCATCCGTGGCACCTAGGCGCCCAAATTCAAGATCCTCTTTTACTCTTTCTTCTCCTTATTCACTAGCTGGTAAGTTCTCCTGATGTGACCTGAGATGATTCTTATCTATCCACTCTGTTTCTTTCCTACTATTCCCACTGTTCCTGTCAAATCTGTCATCATCTCTTACTATAGCGGCAACCAAGAGTTCTTTATGTCAATTCACACTTAAAATATTTATTAGGACTAGGTATGGTGGTGTACACCTTTAGTCCCAGCACTCAGGAGGCAGAGGCAGGTGGACCTC